AAAGCATTTTTCCATCTGTGTGCAACTAACTGACTCTGAATATTGATCCCCTCTCCTGCCCTTTCCTAGGTAATTTAAATTGGTCATGGTAGATTTTTTTCATACATTTGAAAAACTTTTAGGTTGTTACTAAGTATGAAGTATAAATCTGGGGAAGAGGCTTTATGTACATTTTAGGGTGGGTAAGAAAGCCACCATGTTACAAATTTTTTAATTTCCAAAATAATCTATATTAAATGAGGGTTTTCTGATCTGTACTTTGTGTTTAGCTACCTTTTTATATTTAAAAAGTTAAAAATGAAAATTATGTTCTTACAAGCTTAAAGCTTGATTTGATCTTTGTTTAAATGCCAAAATGTACTTAAATGAGTTACTTAGAATGCCATAAAATTGCAGTTTCATGTATGTATATAATCATGCTCATGTATATTTAGATACATATAATGCTTTCTAAGTGAGTTTTACTCTTAAATCATTTGACTTGCTGTTTACTCCCTTCTGTAGTTTTTAATTAAAAAATTTAAAGATAAGTCTACATTAAACAATGATCACATCTAAAGCTTTATCTTTGTGTAATCTAAGTATATGTGAGAAATCAGAATTGGCATAATTTGTCTTAGTTGATATTCAAGGCTTTTAAAAGTCATTATTCCTGGGCTTGGTAAGTGAATTTATGAGATTTACTGCTGTAGAAAGTATAGATGGCCAAAGGACCGTTTTGTATTGCTTCCTGATTACCAGTCTGATTATACCATGTGTGCTAATATACTTTTTTTGTTATAGATTGTCTTAATGGTAGGTCAAGTAATAAAAAGAGATGAAATAATTTAAATTCTTAAATGGATCAGTTTTTCTTCCCTTTCTCTTTTCCGTCTTTCTCTCTCTGTCCTTCCCCTAAAGTCTACTCTGATGGGCAAAAATGAAAAGGGAAAGTGAATTATGGGATCAGTGTTTTGAAAGACAATGTTATTTTCAGTGCTTTTCAGTTTGTTAAAGAGTGGATCTCAAAATCTTGCTTAAAGGGTAATTGAGATGTAGCAGATTTATTTACTTAGTCATGGAAGGAAAAAATTCAGTCAGAAGCTACAGATTTCCTTTTGATTGAAGATAGATTGGTTCTGTGGCCTTGGAACTTTCCCAGACTTAATGGGGAAACATCATCTCTGGATTAGCATACTCTTTGGTTTAAATTTAATACATACGTTAATGCTACTTGGGATACTTTTATATTTTGCATAAAAAGCCTTATTTCTGATGCTGTTTCCTTAGGTTTCTGAGGAGTGAGATGATTAAGTTGTATTCATTAGTAGTGTGTTGGTATGTTTTCACATTCAGTGATGCTGGAGATATGTTGTATGTTAGAAGAGATTCTTTAATTTGTGCTGCTTTGAACATGTGTACCTTTTCTAGATTCAGTAATCCCTTCCCCACCATCCTCTGGATTTTGAAACCTTTAGAGTCACAATAGAATATAAATAAAGAAAATTTCTGTGGGTTGACAGTCATGGTTATAGTTGAAGTCTCTCTAAGCAGTGGCCCAAGTAGACGCTTTTTTTTTGTTTGTTTTATTTTTTAATGATTTAAATACTGACATTTAAAAATTGAAGTAGCATGTCAGTTTTCTTAATACTACTTTATCTCCAACCACAAATAATAGCTGAACCTTTTGTACTTATGTTAGGCCCTGGCAGTGTATGTTTAGATGGGCTAAGACAACATCAAGAAGCAATGGCTAGATAACCATTTAATTTGTCCCCAAAGGTATGTTTTTATCTATCTATTATCTATCTATCTATCTATCTATCTATCTATCTATCTATCTGTCTGTCTGTGTGTGTGTCTATCTATCTAAGACGGTGTCACTCTGTCACCCAGGCTGGAGTGAAGTGGCATGATCACTGCAGCCTCTCCACCTCCCAGATTCAAGTGATTCTTGTACCTCAGCCTCTGGAATAGCTGAGACTAGAGATGTGCGTCATCACTCCCAGCTAGATTTTTGTATTTTTAGTAGATAGAGGTGGGGTTTTGCCATGTAGTCCACGTTGGTCTCGAACTCCTAAGTGCAGTCTGCCCACCTTGGCCTTCCAAAGTGCTAGCATTACAAGTATGAGCCACCGTGCCTGTCCCCCAAAGGTATTATAATAGCTATCAGTAAAGGCTGTAGCTGTGTAAATTTAAATCTCTTCCTTCTTATGCTATGGGATTTTTACATAGAAAGCAGCATTGTTATGCACATGTACCACTAAAATTTGTTTCTTGACATAAGTTCAGAGCTGTGACTTCATCCTGACTACACCTAAAACCAAAACCACTGAGTAAGATTTTTTCATTTTGTGAAAGTTCTGGCAATTTTGCTTAAGTAGCTGTGTGATTTTAAAGGTTGCCACTAGATGGAGAGCTTTTTAAAATCTTTGTTAATCTTAAATGAGTTAACCATTGGTCCTCATCATTCATGGATTCTGTATTTGTAGTTTGCCTACTTGCTAAACTTTATTTGTAACCCCCAAAATCAATAGTCACAGGGCTTTTGCAGACAAGAGAAGAGCAGTGAAAAGTTGGAGCCTCCCAACACGTGTGTTCCCAACTGAAGTGGAACAAAGGGATGCTCAGCCTTGTTTCATCTCTCATACTGTGAGTAAGTATCCTTTTCTTGGGTCTTTTTATGCCCCACCCCCCCCTTTTTTTTTTTTTTGCATTTTTGTATTTTTTTGTTGGTGATTTCACTATTTAAAAAGCCACTAAGTGTAGTGATGAAGTGCTGACTAGTGTTCCTAAGTGCAAGAAGGCTGTGTTGTGCCATATGTAGAAAATATGTATATTGGATGTTTTCTTTTAGGCCTGGGTTACAGTGCTGTTGGCCTTGAGTACAGTGTTAATGAATCAGTATATATTAAATATTAAGTATCTTTAACATGCCTTAACATAAAACACACACAGCAAGGTTATGTATTGATTGGTTGATGAAAATGTAACTCGAGACTCCCAGCAACCTAACCATGTATTTCCCATAGGAGCAGTGTTCAGTATTTGCCAATGCAGTGTTTGTGGTGACTTATGGAACATAAAACTAACTCGTAAGAGAATGACTATTTTTTTTTTGTAATCTTCAAACTCAAATTATCTTCCTGACTTTTGAGAAGGCTGAAATGAATTCTTCCAGATGCCTCTTTCCATCAGTTTACATGCTGTACAGTTTCCTTTCTTTCTTTTTTTAGTTTGCTGTCAGTAGTAACTTGAAAAGTTCTCAAAGAGTCAAGAGAATTTTTATTTCATGGGACATTAACAGTTCAAAATGAACATGTTGGAAGAACTTGAGTAAGAATGACATTGGCTTTCTGAATGAAGTTGGTTTTCTGATATTTTTGAGAAATGAGTCTTAATTTTGTTTAATCAAAAAGTAATGGAAGGTTAAAGGATAAGTGAATAATAAGTTAGGTATACCACATAACATGGTGAAATTCAAGCCTATTACTTTGAGTTTGTAGAGTGCAGCAAAATTTGTATATAGGCCATTGGAAAACCAGTCCTTCGTTATAGGAGGTGGCGGGTTTTGAGGTGGAGCTGTAGCCCACTTTCCTGAGAGTCTGTTATTTGGAAGTCCCAAACCATTTTGTGCTGTTCTTTGAACGTTTTTACCCAGATATTTTCCCATTCCTGTGTGTGATCTCCTGGTTCTTCATCCAGAGGGAAGAAAGAACTTGAAGCAGGAGAGACAGTAGATGAAGTGGGGAGCCCTGTGCTGCAGTAGGGCCACAACAGTTAAGGAAATCTTTGGGATTAAGATTTCTCTGTTAAAGAGTTGATTTAAAAAAAAAAATTTTTTTTTGTATTTTTTGTAGAGACAAGGTTTTGCCATGTTACCCAGGCCGGTCTCGAGCTCCTGAGCCCAAGTGATCTGCCTGCCTAGGCCCAAAATGCTAGGATTACAGGTGTGAGCCCATGTCTAGCTGATTTTTTTTTTTTTTTAAACAACAAAAAAATATATAACTTCATAAATTGGGTGGGATACTGTTGGGTTTTTTGTTACAGTGAAAAGAACACTTTGGAATAGGTCTAAACCACTCAATTGTGTGATTTTTGCTTACTCTCTCTGAGCCTTAAAGTTCTTCCATGCACATTGGAGGTTAGGGGGTTATATCTATGTTTGAGAGGATTGGAAACCTGTGTGTTGCTTCTGTAACGTTGGTGAAGCGCCTCACGTGGTCAGATCTCAGTCAATGGTAGTGATTTTATAGAGACACAAAGTTCAGGGGCAGCATACTAGTAATGTGGGAGTACCAAGGGGTCAGAAGTGTTATTTGTCTTGTCAAGGCTATGTTTGCTCACACTGCAGAAAGCTTGGAGGCATTTCTGGTTCTTGACCTTGTACTCTCTTTAGTGACAGCTCCATTCTACTCCTGTCATGCTTACAGTGTTTGAACCTCTGGCCTTTACTGGAAACGTTGATTTGGTGAAATTGGGCATTTTTACTTGTTGACTGACTAGTGACTCCCTGGAATGAAGACCTTCCTGTCCTTTGTGTTTTTGGTCATTAGTTATGGAATAAGCAACAAAGCCTCCTATTAAAAGGAGTTTCAGATATCAACAAGTCAGTAGGGAGAAGGTAGAGGAGACAAGGAATCCCTACTACACTTACTTTTAAGGGAGGCTTCAATAAAAAACCTGACTTAGTCTTTTTTGAGCGAGTCACCACAGGGAGGAGCATCTAGAGGGCCTCTCCTTTCCACATAGCCCCTTTCTCCTTTTGGGGATGGGCCAGGGACAGTCCTGGGGTCTTAGGGAAGAAGATTGTGGTTGGTGGGCTGTGGTCAGCCTTGGCTCTTTCCTGCCTTATTCCAGGCTTGTGTCCCTGCTAGGCCTATTACCATGCCATCCTGACCTTGGAGGACTTTCCTGTTTTTTCCTTCATTGTAATTATTTGTTTTGTTACTGGCCGGTAAGTTTGACATATTTGATGTTATTTCAATTGTAATGCTCTTCAGATTGGAACACTCCTTTTCTGATATTGTGAGCAAATCCCTATTTTATTTTTGTCACTTGTAATAATCTTCTGAGAAGATTACTCTATTATTGGGCTGTAGGGATTACTTATTCAGATGGGGCCGGTGACTAGAATGTGAGTCAAAAGTGTGAGGTCTAATTTGAACCTGTCTGAGAGTTACTATTGCCTGCCTTGGCCCAAAGTGCAGATTTTTAAAAAGTCAGCTTGTGATAGGCCAGGTGTTTTGTCTGGACCGGGAGTTATCTTTGACTTGTAGATAGAAGAAGGATCCTGAGAACAGTCAGGTCTCCACTTGATGTCTTTTTATTTGACTTGTTACCGTTAGTACTCTCCTGGGATCAAAGCTGCGAAGCCTCACCCCTACCCAGATTTCCCAGTGCACTCAGGAGATCGTCTGTGGCCTTGATGAAGCCAGTGCTTTTTGGGAAAAACGGAGCAAGGCAATGCACAACAGAAGCAGTGCACCGGAGTAAAGATCAAGTTCTGTGGACCCCACTTGCTGTTTGAGAAAATATCCTGCTTCCTTCCTAGCTGACTTGACCTCCAGCATTAACAGGTGGAGGTGAAGAAGCAGGGTCTGCACTCGAGTCTGCTGCTCTGGCTCCAGGTGTATTTTCTGAAACTGGACTCTTCCAGCCCTTAGCTTGTCAAGTTAGCCCGCCCAGAGTCTGGGGCCGATTGTTCCACTGGGCCGTCGGCTATGACACTGTGCTCTCCATGGGCCACTATGCACCCCTCCACTGTCCTTAGGATGGTTTGGAGCCTTCGATCTAAGGCAAGGAGGTGGGGTTCAGTGAGGACAGGGCTGAGCTGGTCTTCTAGCAGTGATTCTCGCATCACATCACTGAGTCTGTAGTCGGGTTGGGCCAGCAGTTGCAGGTGCAAAAGTGTTTTCTTTTTTATCCTGAAAAGACAAAGTTATAGGAACCAAATAAGCAAATGGAAAGAAAATAACTTGCCTGAACTTAACTTCCTTCCCCACAAATAGCTGTTGTAGCTGATACTCTTGGCGCCTCTCCCCGTGTCTTCTCAGGCACATTTTAATGGAAACCAGGTAAAAAAGCGAATAAATGGAAGGCAAAATCCAGTATCTTGCAGTCCTTTGCCCAATTGCCGTTTGCTCAAGAGCCTGCATAGCCATTTGTGCTCTAATAACGGTGATGCCGGGCTATATGCATTTTCTCTGACAATGCTAAGGGAATCAAAACCAAAGTGACACTTAGATATTTCAAGGAGATTTAAAGCTAATGGGAGAAGTCTCTAGTAGGTGAAATGATGAGCTATTTGCCATCTCAAAAGCCCTCAGTACTGCCAGCCTTTAAGTTGTTTCTTGCTAACTTTATTTGTGTGTGTCAGATTTTGAAATCACAGATGAAAATGTGGTGGGACCCATCTTTAGGATTTCAGTTTCTTTTATGTGGGAATCTGACTTGGACTCTGATGCGTAAGCAGCTTAATTGACTTCTGTCATAAACAGGTACTGCTCATCCAGTCCTGCTCAGGAGGCGGGGAAGGGAGGCCAGAGGGAAGCATGTTTAACCTAAGACGTAGATGAAGAATACGCATGCTCTGCTCCAGATTTTCCAGCTGGAAACAAATGAGATGTTTTTGCTAGGTGTGAATATCATATTTATAATTAGCTCTGGATACTGCAGCTGAGCAGGTAGTCAATTTTACAAGCCTGGCTGAAACACCGGAGAAGAATGGGAGTAAGTAAGACATTTTCTAGAGAAATGGTGGCCAAGCAAGGGCCTTCGTGCCTTCTTCCAGTCTGCACAGGTTTACAGGACTTTACTCAGGGTTTTGCTTAGATGGTGATCAGGTAGTGATATTTATGAGCTGATATGAATGCCGGGCAAAGCGGAGGTCTGATTAGTAATATCAAAACCCAGCAGACTGCAAAAATAGGTGATGATCTGAGTGGGTCGCCGATTAAAGTTGGCAGTTGAAAGGTTTAAAGGATTAAATCCTAATTCATCCTATGTGGAAGGATGAAAAAGACAAATGTGGGGGAAATTTTGATAGTTGTAGTACAGTCGTGAATTGCTTAGTGATGGGGATATGTTCTGAGAAATGTTTCCTTAAGCGAAGGTTTTGTCACGGTGTGAACATCATAGAGTGTACTCAGTCACACAGACCTAGATAGTGCAGCCTCCTGCACTCTTAGGCTATATGATATTGCTTGTAGGCTACAAACCTTTACAACACAGTGGTGAATAGCTGTGTATATAAACAGAAAAGATAGTAAAACTGTAAAATGCAGTAAACATGCCATATTATTAATATAATCTTATGAGACCAGCATCATATATGCAGTCTGTCACTGGCTGAGATGTCATGCAGTGCACAAATGTGTAAGAAATAAGGCAGTTCATGTCACTACCCACTTATGTCCTAGACCAGTGAAAACTGATGAAGCCCTTCGGCCCTCGGCTGCAAGCAGCATGAAGGGTCACAGCTATTCCTTGCCCATATTATCTGCTGCAGGAAAACTTACATGCAGCACTGGGAGAGAGGCGAGAGGATGGAGATTTCATCATGGGAGTGTCGTCCGAACCTAGGAGGAGAAACAGGCTTTTATGGGTGGCTGGCAGCATCCTTCGCATTCCCCTGAGGCTTCCTCTCTCCTCTCAGTATTTTGTGAATCAGAGATTGGGGTAAAATGCCAGGGATCATGATAGCTGCCTCTCCAGCCCCTCTCCGCAGTCAGATCACAAAAGCCTCTGTACAGAGATATTAGAGCTAAACAATCCTTCATTCACTAGCTGCAGAGGGCCAGCCACTGAGGATGCACCTTGCTCTCGAAAACCTCACCCTATTTCACTAGAGGGCACACGAGTGCTCTCAGGCTGAAGGCGAATCAAGTGGTACTTGCAAAGGTAAAGAGAAAGAAGGAAATGGAAGAAGCAGGGCTAGAAGGAGATAAGGCACGTGGTGGTGGAGGCCCTCATTTGTAGGGCATCTGTTTCCCCCGAGCAGCTGGCTGCACAGAGCAGCACATCTGGGAGAGGGGAGTGTTGAACACACGTGGGGACACTTACCCTCTGGCGTTGTCCAGGTGAATAAGGAACCCATCATCCCCGAACTTGGTGAACATCTCATAATGGTGCCGGTCCATATTTCCTGTGAAGGAGGGGAGGACTCAGAACCGGGACCAGCAAGCCAGGGGGTCAGGTGCTCCTGACCTGAGTTCTCTCCAGGGAATGGAGGCCTGTTGTCACTTGAGGGGCAGGGGTGTGAACAAGCTGGGCCTCACACTATCATTTCCCCAGGGCCATCAGTGAAGCAGCCGCAGGAGAGAGAAGGAAGCGAAATGAGCAAACCCTAAATGGACTGGTTTCAAGTCTAAGGCTTTCATCCCTGCCCCTGCCCCTACCCCAGCCTTTGGCCAGGGATTTGAATGTGCAGAAAGTCACCTTTGCACCTTGTGTACGTATTGATACTGGCTTTCCTCAGCCCAGAGATCCTCAGCTGAGCCTGGGTATAGTAAACAGACACAGCTAAACTTCTGAAAGGCACGATGATGAGCCGGCTGTCTGACTTGCTTCGGACCTAAGCTCCTATGTGATGGCCACCTTCATGTGTCTCCTGTCCCTAGAAGTCCCTGTGGGCCTGGAAGGTGGAATTACTAGTCTTGCGTGTCCGTGGCCTTGCCTGAGGCCCTCCCTGCTACATGCTTGTTGTGTACTTTCTTCCTTTCCTACCTGGCGTCCCCTCACTTGGTGAAGTGAACATACAACTTCCAATCTGATGCCCACTCAGGCCCTGCCTTATGAGTGACGACCCCTTCAGCTTCTTCCAGTTCTTTGAAGAGAGGCGAGCCTGTTACCTTCTGTCCTCTGGGACCTCCGCCACTTCTGAGGCTGTGGGAGGTGCAGAGTTACTCAGTCCTCATGAGCCAGGTTGTAAGTTTGTGCACAAGGTCACAGGGAACCCCTGCCACACAGCAGAGCCCACTTCCGCTGGGGGCCTGCGCGTGGGGACCTACCTATCAGGAAGTCGAAGATGGCCATGTCGATGACATTGAGGAGCCGCTGGCTGCTGTTGTACGGGTAGATCTGTTTCACTGTGTCACAGTAAAGGGCATTGACCTCCCACCTGAGGGGGAGAAGAAGTCCTGGGGCTGGAAAAGCCAAGATGGCAGGGTGTCGGGGGGTCTCCCCACACCTCCCCCGCCCTCCAACCCCTGCCTCCCTGATCCTGCGCTGGGCCGGTGGCCGCTTCTCACATTCAGAAAGACCCTGGGCAAGGACATGCATATTCCCTACAGTGAGAAGGTTCTGGGTCCTTTCACTCTGGTGGACACTAAGGCCATGGCTGGGACACTGCATGCCAGAGGGGAGATGTCGGGGCAGGCAGGAAAGGAGGGGGCAGTGACCCTCACCGGCTTCCTCGTCCCTTCCACAGTCCCTCTCACCAAGCCTCCAGGGCTCTGCACCACTCAGCACCTCCATGGGCTGTTCCTGCCCTTTCTCTCTCACACACGGTTTTCTCCCTACAATGCTCCGATGCCCATTTTCATCCGAGGGCTCTTCTCAGCCTTCACAGAGTCCCTCAGGATCTGTCATGTCCTCCAGAAATTCTGCCTGGTTACTTCTCTTCCCACTACAATCATGATGGCTTGATTGATGGATCGATTCCCTCAGCTAGTGTGGAGTAGCTGCTGCGTGCCAGGGAGGCTGCTAGGTCCTGGGGATACCGCATGAGGTCCTTGGCCTCCCAGGGCTTGCTCAGGGGATCCAGGTGTCCCTCCCATGGGATCCTCGTGTGCACTCTGGTTATAGCAAGTGCTGTGCTGTGTTTTCGTGATCTGGCTACGTGTCTGTCCTCCCCACTAGACCAAGGAGCTTCCTAAGGAGAGAGTCTGAGTCTTCCATTTCTGTATCCCATAGCACTTAGTGTTGGGTACATGGAAGGTTCTTTAGAACTGAATAAATGAACTGAAGGGAGATAACAGATCCAGGTGTGCTGATCCCAGGATCAGTATGAAATGGGGCAAAGGAGTATTGAGGCAGCTTTTCAGATTCAAAAGCCAAGCTAGCGACAAGTCCCTGGTATAGGATCTGTGGCTACTGTCAAGGACTGGGCTGTGTGGCTTGGGGACCAACTCACTCCTCTTTTCCTGCCAGTGTGTAGGAGCGGATCCAGGGGTTGGGCACAGACAGCCGGGGGGCCAGGTTGAGGGACGGCAGGAAGGCAGAGAGAGAACCCTCCAGCAGGTGTGGGTTGCCACAGACAGCATACTCCGTCTTGCACATGTATGGACACTTGGCAAAGAAGCACACGTTGCTGGCTGGAGAATGGGGAGGAGAGAGGAGAAGGAGTAAGAGGAGGGCTCTGGAGGCATGACATCTTCCTGCCCTAGCAAATCCACTGGGAGGGAAGGGAAATCCTGAACTCACAACTTGGGAAGAGACAGAAGAAGGAAACACTGACTTTTCCAGAAGTGAGGGTGTGAATGCTACTAAGCTGAACCTCCTGGGTACCTGCTTTCAAATGTCTCAAGCTCACTGCATTCTATCCTTGTGAGTAGAACACTCTTTATTACCCTGGGTGGATAACCTCTGGTGCCGGGAGGCCAGCATGGTAGGGTCAGTGCCCACACAGACTAGGGAGCATCTCACACACAGCCTTTCCCATCCGCAGTTCATCTTGTGTTATGGTCAGGCAGACGACGGTGGGAGTGTCTTACAACTTCATACGCCCATCCCAGTAATGGATAGTGCTGGCAGCAGGGTGTCAGGCCACTGATGAATGGAGGGGTGGACACTCTGGCTTACCATGTACTCAGACCCGGAATATCACTCGGGCCAGTACTCTACCTGGAGAGACAAAGAAGACACTCTGCAGGATTTCATTCTTGGTGACCTCTAGGATTTCCTTGGTGACATTCACTAGCCTCCCCACTGTTGGCGGCACCCGTCGGAAGTCCAGAATCCTGCAAGAGAGGAAGCTGTGTTCCATCTGAGCGATGATCGGGGAGTGAGGAGGACGGGTTTTGTCCCTCGGCCAGTGCACATTAGGAATTGGTTGGTGTACCCAAGAGGGTGGCCAGTGAGATGGGTCTCTGGCCTTTAAACCTAGGTCTAAAGGAGTGGAGATGGAGTAGAAAATGAATCCTTATTCTATCAAGCCTCCTGGGAAAACCTTGCCACCATCCCATCTGTGTTCTTGGTCAGTGCTTCTCATATTTCAGTGTTCCTGTGAGTCACCTGGCAATCTTGTTCAAATACAGGCTCTGACTGAGTGGCTCTAGGGTGGGGCTGACATTCCTTATTTCTAAAAAGCTTCTTGGAAGTACCCATGACGCTATAGACCACACTTTGGGTAGCAATGACTGAGCAAATAGAGGAACTGGAATGTTTAGGAATGTGCTTTCACCTGATAAAACAGTGAGACTTCTTGGATAAATAACAGTGGGTGCATTCTCCTCACTCTCAGATCAGAAAACTAGAGCAACTGGCCCAAGCAGCATGGCGGGAAACGTGTTCTTTATAAATTGTTCTTTTCATTGTAAATCATTCTTTAATGAATGTTCATTACATTCATTAGAAGGCCTTGTATTTTTCAATCTGGGGGTTGCATGGGACATTTTGGGTTCAAAGACACCACGATGAGGCACGAAGAAGATAAAAAGCCAGAAGGAAGAAATGCCAGGGAGTTCCCACCTGAGGGTCTGTCTAGTCACCCCTCCCAGAGGATTGGTCCTCATAGGCAATACCATCTCCATGGGGCCAGACCCTACCTGTCCAGATGGAAAGCTGCGATCTCAGCATTGTGTCTCTGAAAGTCAATGAAGTAGAAGAAGTCCACGGGCGTCTCCTCATCTCGCTGCTGTCTGGAAGGAAGGAAGGAATCACGCCCTGGACTCAGACTTCAGCTTGGAGCCTGAGAAGAGAGCTGATGAGCATGACCAGTGAGAAAGGAAAACAGGCTTTTATGCTTTTCATGTACACACACAGGTGATGGCACGGCTTGGCCAGGAGAAGACATGCAAAGCGGGAGGAGACAGGCTTCTTGCAAGGTGTTGTCCTGCAGGTACCAGCAATACCAGGTTTCCTACTTAAGAAGCTTTGGTGACAGTGGCTGATTATTTTCAAAACCCAGCAGTTGAGAGGGAAGAAATAGACCTTCTTCTGCAGGTATAAACGGAAGAGAGACGAGTGGTTAGCAGAACCAGAGGCAGTATAGACCCAGATGTCCAAGGATGAAGAAAGGTGGGAGTATGAGCCAGGAATTGGTAATGAAAAAGTGGCCCAGAAATGCAATTTAGTACGCTGGGGTTGAAGAACAGAAAAGTTCTGGGTCTTAGGGGGATGTGGGGGAAATATGTGGGCCATCATCCTCTCAGAGAAACACAGCTGGATCATGAGGGCTGAGGGCGGCTGGTGCAGATGTTATTGATTTATATACATTGACTCTCTAATGAATTCCTGAAAAGCGCCAGGCTGCCTGAGAATGGTGGGACCTGCTGGGTGTGTACATTCAGGAAAGTGCTTCCTAATCATTAAGGGCATCGTGGTGTGAGTTCTGGCCTCTAGGCTGACTTTGCCTTGATGCTAATAAATATGGAAGAATGACGATCTTCGAATAATTTTATAATCCACTGTGTGGGGCTGTTAAAATGACTGCAAAGCAATTTAAATGTAAATAAACGTAACGTTGCAGAAAGCTATAAATAAGAAACACTGGCAATTCAAACCGTGATGTGCATGTTGCCAAAAAACACAAGTGAGTCCTGGAAACCACAGTGAGGTGCTGCCAAAAGTAGAGATTCTATTTTAAAAGGTACAGCCACAGTTACAGTACAGCCCTCCGTGCTCAGGCCTGACCAGCTTCTCATCATCGTCACTGGATGTCCAGGCTAGCAAGGACAATCTGTCCTCCCAGTCTTGTTTTAATCTGAGTCCCACCTATAGGAACATATCATCTCTTAGACACCCTTTAGGGTCTTCTAAAACATTTTCTCATTTTCGTATGACATAAGATAGAAGTGATTTTAAATTTGAAGGTTGTTTTCACTTTATATCAATGCTTCTCCTACTTTGAGAAGCACAAATGCACGTCTCATTGCGCATTATATTGTATACATTACATTTTAACAATATAAATCTTTATGTTCCTAGTGTGTATTTTCCAAAGATAATGTTCTACATTCTCTCTTTAATCAGGAAAAACATGGTGTTCACCTTAAATTACTTACAGAAAAATAAAAACCACATAATTTTTCAAGAAATACATTTTAAAATGATATTATTTTAGATTTTGGACTGAATTTTATAAAAATGTAGATTACACTGTGTTGTGGTATAAAAATAGGTGAAGTTGGTTCTCTCACTGAATGTTGGAGGGTTTTGTGTTACATTTGGGAAAAAAGCTGGTTAATTTGAACAATTTTTGTAGAGACACACCTCAGAGTTATTGCAGGTTTGCTTCTAGACCACCGCAATGAGGCAACTATGGTAATAAAGTCATTGATGCACATTTTTTGGTTTCCCACCCAATGCATATAAAAGTTATGTTTTTATTATACTGGAGTCTTAAATATGCAATAGCATTATGTCTGAAAAATGTATACATCTTAATGGAAAAACACTTTATTGCTAAAAAATGTTAAGACTCATCTGAGCCTTCAGCAAGTCAAAATCTTTTTGCTGACTAGGGTGGTGGTTGCTGAAGGTTGGTGAGGCTGTGACAACTTTTAAAAATAAGACAACAATGAAGTTTGCTGCATCGATTCACAAAAGATTTATCTGTAGCATGCAATGATGTTTGATAGCATTTTACCCACAGTAGAACTTCTGTCAAAATTGAAGTCAGTCCTCTCAAACCCTGCAGCTCCTTTATCAACTAAGTTTGCCTAATATTTTAAATCCTCTGTGGCTTTAAATCCTCTGTGGCTTTAAAATTTTGGGGGAACAGGCCCCCCAAAATCTGGCCATCAACTGGCCCCCAAACTGGCCATAAACAAAATCTCTGCAGCACTGTGACATGTTCATGATGGCCTTAACACCCACGCTGGAAGGTTGTGGGTTTACCGGAAGGAGGGCAAGGAACACCTGGCCCACTCAGTGCGGAAAACCGCTTAAAGGCGTTCTTAAACCACAAACAATAGCATGAGCTATCTGTGCCTTAAGGACATGCTCCTGCTGCAGATAACTAGCCCAACCCATCCCTTTATTTCAGCCCATCCCTGCATTTCCAATAAGGGATACTTTTAGTTAATCTAATATCTATAGAAACAATGCTAATGACTGGCTTGCTGTTAATAAATATGTGGGTAAATCTCTGTTCAGGGCTTTCAGCTCTGAAGGCTGTGAGACCCTTGATTTCCCACTTCACACCTCTATATTTCTGTGTGTGTGTCTTTAATTCCTCTAGTGCCGCTGGGTTAGGGTCTCCCCAGCCGAGGTGGTCTCAGCAGTGGCCATTTCAACAATGTTCACAGAGTCTTCACTCGAAGTAGATTCTATCTCAAGAAACCAATTTCTTTGCTTATCCATAAGAAGCCACTCCTTATTGGTAGGGCATGGTGGCTTACGCTTGTAATCCAAGCACTTTGGGAGGCTGAGGTGGATGGATCACAAGGTCAGGAGATCGAGACCATCCTGGCTAATATGGTGAAATCCCGTCTCTACTAAAAATACAAAAGAATTAGCCAGGCATGGTGGTGCATGCCTGTACTCAGGAGGTTGAGGCAGGAAAATTGTTTGAACCCGGGAGGCAGAGGTTGCAGTGAGCCAAGATCCTGCCACTGCATTACAGCCTGAGAAACAGAGTGAGACTCTGTCTCAAAAACAAAACTAAACAAAACAAAAAAGAAGCAACTTCTTATCTGTTCAGGTTTGATCATGCAATTGCAACAATTCAGTCACATTTTCAGGCTCCACTTCTAATTCTAGTTCTCTTTTATTTCCACATCTGCAGTTACCTTCTCCACTGAAGTCTTGAACCCCTCAAAGTCATCCATGAGGGTTGAGATCAATCTTCTTTTAAACTGCTGTTAATGTTGATATTTCTACCTCCTTCCACGCATCATCATGAATTTTCTTAATGGCATCTAGAATGGTGATTCCTTTCCAGAAGGTTTTCAAATGACCTTGTCCAGGTTCATCAGAGGAATCACTAACTGTGGCAGCTATAGCCTTGTGAAATGTATTTCTTAAACTGTAAGACTTGAAAGTTAGAATGACTGCTTGATCTGGGGGCTGCAGAATGGATGTTGTGTTAGCAGGCATGAAAACAACATTAATCTCCTTGGACATCTCCAGCAGAGCTCTTGAGTGACTAGGTGCGTTACCAGTGAGCAGTAATATTTTGAAAGGAATCTGGTTTTTTTCCCCCCTTGAGCAGTAAGGTCTCAAGAGTGGGCTTAAAATATTCAGCAAACCATGCTGTTAACAGATGTGTGGTCATCCAGGCTTTCTTGCTTCATTTATAGAGCACAGGCAGAGTAAATTCAGCATCATTCTTGAGGGCCTGAGGATTTTTTGAATGGTAATTGAGTATTGGCTTCAACATAAGTCCCCAGCAACATTATCACCTAACAAGAGAGTCAGCCTGTCCTTTGTATCTTTGAAGCCAGGCATTGACTTTTCTTCTCTAGCTATGGGGAAAGTCCTAGATGGTATTTTCTTGCAATAGAAGGCTGTTTCATCTACACTGAAAATCTATTGTTAGTGTAGCTACGTTCATCAATGATCTTAGCTAGATCTTCTGGATAACTCGCTGCAGCTTCTCCATCAGCACTTACTGCTTCACCTTGCACTTTTATGTTATGGAGATGGCTTTTTTTCCTTAAGCCTCATGAACCAACCTCTGCTATCTTCCAACTTTTCTTCTGCAGCTTTCTCACCTGTCTCAGCCTTCATTGAAGAGAGTTAGAACCCTGCACTGGATTAAGCTTTGGTTTAAGGGAATGCTGTGGCTGGTTTAATCTTCTACCCAGATAACTTAAACTTGCTCCATATCAGCAATGAGGTTGTTTTGCTTTGTTATCATTCGTGTGTTCAGTGGAGCAGCACTTTCATTTTCCTTCGATAACTTTTCCTTTGCATTCACAACTTGCCTAACTGGCACAAAAAGCTTAGCTTTCAGCTTATCGGCTTTCAACATGCCTTCCTCACTAGCTGCCTGAATCATTTCTTGCTTTCCATTTAAAGTGAGAGATGTGACACTCCTTTCATGTGAACACTTAGAGGCCCATGTTGGGTTACTAACTGGCCTAATTTCAATATTGTGCGTCTTAGGGAATAGGGAGGCCCGAGGACAGGGAGAGAGATTGGGGGAATAGCCAGTTGTTGGAGCAGTCAGAATACCCATTTGGGCCAGGCGCAGTGGCTCACACCTGTAATCCTAGCACTTTGGAAGGTCAAGGTGGGCAATCACTTGAGGCCAGGAGTTCGAGACCAGCCTGGCCAACACAGTGAAACCCCATCTCTACTAAAAATAGAAAAAATTAGCTAGGCATGGTGGCACATGCCTATAATCCCAGCACTTTGGGAGGCTGGGGCGGGCGGATCACCTGAGGTCAGGAGTTTAAGACCAGCCTGGCCAACACGGTGAAACCCCATCTCTACTAAAAATGCAAAAATTAGCCAGGTATGGTGGCCGGCGCCTGTAGTCCCAGTTATTTGGAAGGCTGAGGCAAGAGAATCGCTTGAACCCAGGAGACAGTGGCTGCAGTGAGCTGAGATTGAACCATTGCACTCCAGCCTGGGCAATAGAGTGAGACTCTGTCTCAAAAAAAAAAACAAAACAGTTTGAAATATTGTGAGAATTACCAAATGTGACACAGAGACATGACATGGGCACATGCTGTTGGGAAAATGGCACCGATAGACTTGCTTGATGCAGGGTTGCCGCAAGCCTTCAATTTGTAAAAAACAATATCTGCAAAGCACGATAAAGTGAAATGCAGATACAGCGAGCTATGCTTGTATTTTTTTGTTGTTGTTCTTTGAGACGGAGTTTTGCTCTTATTGCCCAGGTTGGAGGGTAGTGGCGCAATCTTGGCTCACTGCAACTTCCGCCTTCCGGGTTCAAGCCATTCTTCTGCCTCAGCCTCTCGAGTAGCTGGGATTACAGGCATCTGCTACCATGCCTGGCTAATTGTTTTGTATTTTTAGTAGAAACGGGGTTTCACCATGTTAGCCAGGCTGGTCTCGAACTCCTGACTGCACATGCCTGTATTTGCTTTAACTGACCAGGCAGAGAAGAAGTTTTAGGCTGTGAGTTATGTTATTTTACTTTCCTGCAAAGGAAACACTACAGTTGAAGACCAGCCTGGCCAACATGGTGAAACCCCATCTCTACTAAAAGTACAAAATTAGCCGGGTGTGGTGGTACACACCTATAATCCCAGCTACTCCGGAGGCTGAGGCAGGAGAATTGCTTGAACCCAGGAGGCCGAGGTTGCAGTGAGCTGAGATGGTACCACTGCACTCCAGGCTGGGCGACAAGAGTGAAACTCCATCTCAGAAAAAAAAAGGAAAAAAAAAGAAATCAGAGACATCCTATTGTGCCACATAAAAATTTTGCTCGGAGAACAGAATCTATGGCCCTGGTGATTTGTGGTGCATTTGAAGATTGATCATTACTTTTATGCTTCTCATTAACATCTCCTGTTTCTCTATCAGTGTTCCTTAGGTTGCCTCTCTCTAACTGGTGCTGTCTTTTGAGTATATATTATATGTGCTTGACTAACTATAACAATAATTTAAACTCTGTAACAACCAGAACCTCACTGGTGGCTCTTGTGTTCAGCTGAGCATTGTGCCAAAGAGTCACATGTCTACTTGTGGAACCTCTGCTAATTGCCATGTGTATTCGCTGTTATAGCTCTCATTTCAAAGGAACGCAGTGTATTTATTTACATATTTTAGTACTCTATATGCCTGAATACAAGCTGAGGTCTCTCCTGAAACTGTCCCTTGGAAAGGAGTCTCTATATTCAAATCCTGTCATAGTTAATCACTTAATTTTGTTTGGGACAGATACATTAACCTGGAATGACTTGACTTTGCGCTGGTTTTACTGCCTGGTGTAACTGGTTACAATAGGTTGTTGGTAGTGATGGGGGAGGGGAGCGGGGAAATAATTTAATATTGATTTAACATTCACCCCAAACTTGACTCTAAGTAATGATGAAACCAATGCCCAAAATTTTTGACAAGTAAAATCTATAGTGGGAGAAAAAAAAGCGATATTTCTAAATCTATATACTGTTTTATATGATGGGATTTTTAAATGACTATAACTATAAGCAGACATTCAATTGTTTCATGTACATTTCTGGAAAGTTTTAAGTTGATCTAACAACTAGGATTTTGGATCTTTCACATAGGAAAAATGGGGGAACTCTTTCTTGTTTTTTTTTTTTGAGATAGAGTCTCCTTCTGTGGCCCAGGCTGGAATACAGTGGTACGATCTTAGCTCACCGCAACCTCCTCCTCCTGGGCTAAGACATTCCTCTGCCTCAGCCTCTCGAGTAGCTGGGACTACATGCACGCACCACCACGCCTGGATAATTTTTGTATTTTTGGTAGCGATGGGGTTTCGCCATGTTGGCCAGGCTGGTCTCAAACTCCTGACCTCAGGTGATCCACCTGCCTTGGCCTCCCAAAGTGCTGGGATTATAGGTGTGAGCCATCGTGCCCAGCGGAGGAACTCTTTATACAGCGGTGGTTCTCAAGGTTGCCTGGGCCTTGGGCAGGGGTGTCCACTGGACTCCCTGAGGGTGGGACTCAGGCATAAGGATTTTTAAAGGCTCCTCAAGTGAATCTAACATGCAGCTGATCCACTCCAACCCCTTCTTTAAGGAGGTGCTTTTGCGAAAGCAGTTGGGACTAAAACTCTTTATTCAGTGCTTATTCAAGTAGGCCCTGCCCTAAGAACCATCTACTGGGGCATTCAGTGGGCCTCCCCTTGAATGGTTGAGGGTTTGGAATCTGCCAGTCTAATTGCATTCCACTGGAAGAAGCACATGCTGGAGGAAAGCATCACTTGGGTAAGGGGGTCCCTCTTGGGGCGATTTTCTTTTCTGCAAGTCGTCTCATCATCTCAAGGAGGAACATTCCCCTGGGCTAAGGCACTGGGGCCCAACTCTAGGAGACCCCAACCTGGGGGTTGCAGATCCTTTGGGGGCCAGAAACCCAAACTCACACCAAGCTCTGTTTAAGGACTCAAATACATATTATATCACCCATCTATATGTTTTACAAAATTTTCAAGGCATGTAGTTACTGTTGTTATGAATCAAATATAAATTAATGTAAACATGGAATTGACTTCCTAGTAGTCTTTCTTGATCGTCTAGGTTTTCAGTCGAAACAAGTGTTGTTCTATACAGGTCTGAAAAACTTTTTGATGTCAAAAGAGAGTGCTGTCCTTGGAAAAAAGTAGAGATGCATTAAAGTGGTGGAGTGTGAACTTAGCAATCCAGATGCCTGGGTTTGAATCCCAGGTTCACTGTTTGCAGCTGCAAGATTGGGATGAGATAGTCTTTTTCAGCCTCAGTATCTTTATCTGTAAAGTGGACATTATAAGAGTATCTGGCTCATCAACTTGCCCATGATCCCAGGACACAACTTAGGTCATTGTGTGGCATAGATGCTAGTAAGGGCCTGATAAGGACAAGCTCTTAGTATTTTCAATGATGATTATTATGATGATCACCCCAAACAGTTCTGTGCTTGTGCAGATTAGAGAATCTCTGAATAACTGGCAGAAAGACTTTAGGTCACTTTTATTAGTTTTTGATCCAAATCTTCCCAGGGCCACCCCAACCGGATGTGGAAAGGAGGAAGGCAGTCACTTACCTCATGGGTTTGAACATGGCCTTCCCGAAATCCGAGAACCTCAGCACCAGCTTGAGGTGGACCCCACTGGGTTTCACAACTGTGAAAGGCAGAAGAGTGAGTTAACCATGCTTCTGGGCCTCAGCCCAGGCTTGTGACTCTGGTCCTTCAATAAGCCCCGCTGACTTCTCTTTCCTCTTATGTAATGAGACCCTAAAGACTAGGATGTGCTCTCCATAACCTGCAGGGTAAACGCCATGGTGTCAGGCCATAGTGGCAGTGTCCAGGGGCTCAAGACAGTACTTTTTACTTTGGGAGGTGAAGGCAGGAGGATCGCTTGAGCCCAGGAGTTTGAGATCAGCCTGGGCAACATAGTGAGACCCCCATTTTGAAAAAAAAAAAAGGTACATTTTCTGCTGACCATGGGAAAAGAGCAACAAATACAGTGAAGACATTTACTGAAACCCCAAAGAATGTTTTCCTAAGAATGAACCTTTTCCTCTTTGTGTTTCAACTACATCTTTGTAGATTCAACTTATGCCTTCTGTTATATTAGACTAGTTGGTTTATGCCTCTTTCTACTTAAGACTGTACACCTGGGCTGGGACCAGAGCTTGGCAAGTGAGTGCTTCTTAGGTGCAAGGAGTACTACTTCCTTAAATGTTGCATCCTGGGCACCTCACTTGCCTTACCCTGTCCCTGGTCCTGGAGGGTCAGGACAATATCTCACTCACCTTGTGTTCTATAAAATGGTCAATGACAGGTGCTTAACTGAAGAAAAAGGAAGCCTGGGGCCCTGTACACCTTTATTTTCAAACCTTAGTGATATGGTTAGGCTTTGTGTCCCTACCCAAATCTCATCTCAAATTGTAATCCCCTTGTCTCAAATCTCATCTCAAATTGTTGAGGGAGGGATGTGGTGAGAGGTGACCAGATCATGGGACAGTTTCCCCTATGCCGTTCTTATGATAGTGAGTTCTCGTGCGATCTCATGGTTTTATAAGGGGCTCTTCCCCGTTTGCGTCTTCTCTCTCCTGCCACCATGTGAGATGTGCCTTGCTTCCCCTTCCCCTTCTGCCATGGTTGTAAATTTCCAGAGACTTCCTAGCCATGCTTCCTGTTAAGCCTGCAGAACTGTGAGTCAATTAAACCTCTTCCTTTATAAATTACCCAGTCTCAAGCATTTCTTAACAGCAGTGTAAAAATGAACTAATACATTTCGACATGCCTCATCAGATGTAGTCACATGTAGACATTTCTGATGTGTGTTCCACATATTGAAGTAAAGGGACAGGGCCACTCACGGCTGGTGATGACTGGCCTGAGGGTTTTAGGGTCCAGACCCACCTATAACCAGGTCACAGCACTCCTGGAGGGGAGCTCTGCCGCTGTCAGTCCTAGCTTTTTGATTCCATTAATCACTTACCCTTGTGAGTTTCAACTCTGGCTATATTAGAATCACCTGGGCCTCAACGTCTGAACTCGAATCAAAACCCCTGGGGGTGGAGGCCGGGCATGAGCACTTTTTAAAGCTCCCCCAGTGATTCTAATACATACGTGTGTGTGTGTGTGTGTATATATATATACACACACACATATATATATACACACACACATATATATATATATTTTAGCTGGAGTCTCACTCTGTTGCCTAGGCTGGAGTCCAGTGGCATGATCTCAGTTCACTGCAACCTCCACCTCCTCGGTTCAAGCGATTCTCTTGACTCAGCCTCCCGAGTAGCTGGGATTACCACCACCATGCCTGTCTAACTTTTTATATTTTTGGTAGAGATGGGTTTTCACTGTGTTGGCCAGGCTGGTCTCAAACTCCTGACATCAAGTGATCCACCTGCCTCGGACTCCCAAAGTGCTGGGATTATAGGCGTGAGCCACTGCGCCCAGCTGATTCTCATATTTTGTCAGTAGTGGGAACCATTGCTTCTTGAATTTGAAAGCAACTCCAATCACTTGAGGATTTTGTGAAAACTCAGATTCGGATTCAGAAAGAGAGTGAGACCGTGCATTTCTGATGAGCTCCTCAGTGATGCTGATGATACTTTTCCTGGGCCACGCATTGCCCAGCGGGGCCTACACAACCCTTCCTCTTAAGTGCCTTTTCTTGTTGTGGGTGGATGGGGAGAAATGTTGAGTTCTCAGAGGTTACACAGAGAGCCATACTCCTTCCACTCTTGCCCAAGGTCGCCACTGGAGTGGATTTTGGGGTTTGCACAGCTGTGAGGGTGAAGAGGCTGGGTGAGGGCGGGGCCAGGTCACTTACTCTGGGTGCAGTCACACGCCCCCAGCAAGGCTTTCTCATCCTGACTGTAATCTGCAAAGGAGGAGAAGGGCAATGAGAACTTCCAGTCTTATTCCTGGGACAGCCTACAACATGGGGGTCCCTTGACTCTGGTTCAGATCACCAGAGGGGAGACTGTGATGTAGCCTGTGGCCCTTGCCCACTCTGTGGGAGATCTCTTGGAACCCAGGAGGCTGCAGCCTCCTTCCTTGCTCTGTCCCAGACCCCTGCTTTCTAGCCCTTCAGTGGACACTCCAGCAATACCTGGCTGGGAGACTGAGTCTGCTTTTGTCTCTGCTAATAACTTGCTGTGTCATTTTGATTGTCTCAGTGCTTGACAGCACAGACTTGGTATCAGCAGGCCTGTGTTTGAATCCCAGCTCCACCCCGTAGGTCCTTGGCCAAGTGACTCAACCTTTCTGAGTCTCAGTTTCCCTATCTATAAAATGGCAGTGGTAATATCCATGCCACAAGGTCTTTGGGTGAAAGAGAATGCGTCGCCTGCTTCAAAAGCAGCACTCAATAAATGGTAGTGATCACCTTCCTTTAGGTGTACCAAACAACAGCATACCTCCTTATGGCATCAGGACGAGATTATTGCTATAAGATCTCTTTCAGAGGGAAAAAGATCAATGTGTATGTTCCTTTTCTGTCTCTCAGGTGTCAGTGTCAAGCCTTTAATGTTCCACTCTGGAGCCTGGCCTGGGATGCGTTACCCAGACTCTCTGGGAGAAAGTCAGTCCCCCTTGCCTGATCCCATGAACTTTACCAGCACTGATGGTGGGAAAGTTCCTCATATCTTGCAGAAGTTTGCTGACAACAGGACTGGACCGGGAGTAGAGCCCATGGCGGTTAATACCCAGGTGGAACTGGACCCAACTGGCCTCGAGTCGAAGCTGCAGTGGGGGGTCCAGGGAGGTGAGGTTCATCTGCTCTCTGTACATCTTGTGTCGCCTGAAAGAGCCAGATAGTTGTTCATTAGAGGAACAAGAATGCAAAGACCCACCAAGATACCTTGTCTGCAGTTTTCATTCATCTTTTCATTTATTCCACAAGTGTATTAAGCATCTAATGAGGGCTAGGCTTTAAGCTGTGCTTAGGATATCATGGGAAGCAAAACACCTGTGGGGTCCTTTCTTACCCTCAGAGAGCTTACACTCTAGTGAGTAAAACACACAGTTATACAGTATCATACACAAATACTTAATTACAAACCAGGACAAATCCTGGGAAGGAAAAAAGGCAGACTGCTAAGAATAAAACTAGGGGCCTCATATAATCTGGGATCTCAGGGTGAGACTGTGGGTCTCTGTGCACTTTCCCATTAAAACTCTCTATCTTACATTTCCCAGTATTTTATGTTCCAAGGAATCAGAAGATAGAGGAGAGAAGGCAATTGGTGAGAATAACAAGAAGAGAGGGTGCAGATCTTTCAGTGGGGCTGGAAGCTGAGTTAGATTACAAAAGAAAAGAAGAATTAATGAGCCATTTACTGTTTGTTCTGCTTGGGTAGCCTTTTCTGCCAGGAAAAAAAGAGAAAAATAAAAAATGATGGTGCTACCATTTAGAGATGTAGACTGTAATTTGGGAGACAAGTTGTAAGTCTGTGAAATAACCAGAGCAAAATACAAGGCTGTTATAAATCAACCGCTAAACATGTGGCTCAGATGGAAACGCCTTAACGTTTTGGAGAAGGGAAAAGATGAATCTATGATGAAGTAGCCTGAGGACAACCACAGTGAAGAAGGCAGACTTCAGCTGGATCCTAAAGAACCGGGGGTGTTTGGCTTGAAGGGGACAGGGAGGGTACTCCTGCATTAAGGATGACATGAGCACTACGAGAGGTAGGCAAGAAACGGGTGTATCTGGGGATGAGAGAGGCAGGTTGAATAAATGCACTGTTGAATGAGAAGACGGAGGCCTCCGGATTGGAAGGGAAGGCAAATTAGTACGAGGTCATCTGGGTGGGAAAAGCTGATTGGGAGAGGTAGGTGGGATTATAGGAGTAGGGTTTTGCAGTTCCTATATATCCCTATTTCTCAAACTGTGATAATATACCACTCAGGTCTGTGGCGGGGTAAAAAACAAAACAAACATAGCAGATCCGGGAGTGTCCAATTTTCTCATTGGTGGAGAGTTGTAAAAATTACCACACTGGGAGGCTGAGGCAGATCACCTGAGGCCAGGAGTTTGAGACCAGCCTGGACAACAATGATAAAGCCCCGTCTCTACTAAAAATACAAAAATTAGCCAGGCATGGTGGTGCGCACCTGTAATCCCAGCTACTTGAGAGGCTGAGGCAGGAGAATCACTTGAACCCGGGAGGCAGAGGTTGCAGCGAGCCGTGATTGTGCCACTGCACTCCAGCCTGGGCGACAGAGCGAGACTCTGACTTAAAAAAAAAAAAGTTACTTTTCTATCAAAATAAAAATAGATGTGTTATGGGGAAGGAAATAAAATATACCATAGGGATCTGAATCCATTTGTGATCTTAGTGATTGCAATGGACTGAATGTTTATGTTTCCTTCAGATTCATATGTTGAAATTTTAACCTCCAAGGTGATAGTATTGGAGGTGGGGCCTCTGGGGAGGGGGTAACCCTCATGAATAGGATTAATGCCCTCATAAGAGAGACCCCAGAGAAATCCCTCACCCCTTCTGCCATGTCAGGTTATAGCAAGAAGACAGTATCTGTGTGCCAGCAAGAGAGGCCTCACTAGAAGAAATGGAATCTGCCAGCACCCTGGTGGTGGACTTCTCAACCTCCAGAACTGTGAGAAATACATTTCTGTTGTTTACAAGTCACCCAGTTTATAGTATTGGTTATCACACCCCAAACAGACTAAGGCAATTTTGCTTCACCATTTCTTTCCTATTTCTGACACCCAGAATGAAGTGTAATATATCCCCAGACATGACTGCCCAGTGCAGAGGAGAATACGGTAATTACCATCCCCATTCATGGCGTTTTCCTTGTATGAATGTAACTCAACACTGAAAATCTTTGGGAAATCATGTCACATATCTCTAAGAAAATATAATTTTATGGTAAGCAGGATTCTAAAATTGGCTTCTAAGATTCCATGCCCTCATTTCCAGAACCTGTGACTATGAAGAGCTCTCACTCCATGATTATGCCATGTTCACGGCGTAGTTGAATTTAGGGAGGTTGTCAAGGTGGGCCTGATTGAATCGCATGAGCCCTTGAAAGTAAAGTTTTTTTTCTGGCTGTTATCAGAAGTCCAAACGATCCAGAGCGTCAGAAGGATTTGACACCCTATTGTTGGCTTTGAAGATGGAGAAGGTCAAGTGGAAGGACCAGAGAGCTGTCATGAAGAGCTGAGAATGCTTCCCAACTGAAGCCAGCAAGGAGATGGGGGCAAGGAACTGAATTCTACCAACAACGAGAATGAGCTTGAAGGAGGACCCCTGAGCTGCTGGTGAGAATGTAGCCAACCAACGCCTTGGTTTTAGTCTTGTGAGATCCTAGCAGAAAATGAGTCATACCATCTGATATGTTGCAGATGTTTGTCCCCTCCGAATCTCATGTTGAAATGTAGTCGCCAGTGTTGAAGGCGGGGCCTGGTGGGAGCTAATTGTAACATAGGAGTGGGTCCCTCATGAATGGCTTAGCACCATCTCCTTGGTGATGAGTGAGGTCTTGCTCAGAGTTCATGTGAGATCTGGGGGTTTAAAGGCATATAGCGCCTCCCTGCTCACTCTCTTGTGCTCCTGCTCTTGCCACGTGGTGTGCATGTTCTGTATCACCTTCTGCCATGAGTAAGTTTTCTGAGCCCTCACCAGAAGCAGCATGCTTCCTGTACAGCCTGTGGAACCATGATCTAATTAAATCTTTTTTTTTTTTTTTTTAATAAATTACACAGTTTCAGGTCTGTCTTTTTCTTTCTCTTTCTTTCTTTCTTTCTTTCTTTCTCTTTCTTTCTTTCTTTCTTTCTTTCTTTCTAATAAAAAACACTGATTACTCTGGGGTTAATTATTAAAGACACAAAAAAGCATATGACTTAAATAAGAGCATGTAAGCTTTTGCAGCCCTCCTCTGCCCAAATATCACATTTGCTTTTCAGTTCTGAGTACAAATTCCACCACAAACCATCTAGCACTCAGAGCAAACTCTCACATTTCGCCTTATAGGTCAGAAGTCTGGGATAACATGATCAGGCCATATTGTGTGTTGCTATAAAAGAAATATCATGGCAGAAGCACAGAAGATGCATCATAGCCTAGTATAACCAACACACTTGGGTGGCCAAGCAGCGACAGATTCACCATGCGATAAGAGTTTGGAGACACACCCTAGGCCAAGATAGGTAAAACCCATCTCTATCAACAACACAAAATTAGCCAGCGCATGGTGAAGAGCACATGTAATCCAGCTCCTCAGGATGCTGAAGCAGGAGCAATCCGCCTATCAGCCCTAGGGCGGTGGAGGTAGTCCTGCAGCCAGTGAGCCAGATCAGTGTCATTCAGTCACTCCCAAGCCTCGGCAACAAGAGCTAAAACTTATTGAAAAAGCAGAACACGAAGAAGAAGAAAGAAGAAAGAAAGAAGACGAAGAAAGAAAGAAAGAAAGAAAGAAAAAGAAAGAAAGAAAGAAGAAAGAAAAGAGAGCAGAGAGAGAGAAGAGAGAGACGAGAGAGAGAGACGAGAGAACGAGAGATAAGAAAGAAACGAAAGAAGACAGCGCCGAAACAGCAGCCACGAAGAAGACAGAAAGAAGAGAAGAGACGGAAGGAAGGAATGGAAGCGAAGGAAGAAGAAGAGAAGGAAGGAAGGAAGGAAAGAAAGAAAGAAAAGAAAGAAGAAAAAAAGAAAAAAGATAAGAAAAGAGAACAAAGAAGAACAGAAAGGAAAGAAACGAACAGGAAAGAAAGAAAAA